ACATAAATGTCTATTATTGGATCACTGGATAAGGAAAGTGTGGTATATTTACACAATGGAATACTACTCTGCCAAAATATGGAATGAAATACTGCCATTTGCAGCAACATGGATGAACTTAGATAAAATTCTGTTAAGTGAAATAAGACAGGCACAGAAAGAGAAATACTGCATGTCCTCAGTCATAAGTGGGAGCTGAAATAATAAACAAATAAATAAAAGAAAGATGCAACAATCACAATAATACACTGAACTTTCAAAAGGAGTGAAAAGAACTAGGTTATCAGAGATGGGAAAGCGGGGGAGGGGATTTAAGGGAGGAATTGGTAAAGGGCCACAAAAAACAATGACATTGTATAATGTTGAATATACTAATTACCCTGATTTGAGCATCACATATTGCACTCAGATATTTTCAACTCTGTACCCCTCAGATATGTACAATCAACTACGTTTCAATAAAAAATAAATTAAAAAGTTGGGCTTTTAAGATTTCTTCAATCTGTGGCTTGAGACTTTTGTCAGAATTGTAAAGTTTCATCCATTATCTCTTCAAATTTTTCCTGTGTTCCATTTCTTCTCTTCTCTCCTTTAAGGATTCAATAACATGTGTTAGACCTTCTCACTGTTTTCTTTATGTCTCTGACCTTACACTGTATTTTCCATCTTGTTGTCTTTCTAAGATTTATTTTTCTTACCAATTTTCCAGTACATTAATTTTCTCTTCAGCTGTGTCTGAGTATTAATTTCAGTGACTGTTTTTTCCCCAAGGTTTTATAATTTTCATCACTTTTTTTTATTGTTTCCACTTTTTGGCTGAAATTCTCAATTTTGTCTTGTATCTTGGATATTGAAAGTACACTCATATTAAAGTTTGGGTTTGATAACATCAACATTTGGAGGTTTTTCAAAATGTATATTTGATACTGCCAACATCTGGAGGTCTTGTAAGTTTATTTCTATTATCTGTTAATTCTGTTATCTTTTGCTTATGTTTTCCCAACTGCTTGTGTGCCTGGTTATTTTTTACTGTGCACTAGACACTGTATTTGCAAAATTGCTTATAGAAATTTTTTTCTTCTCGGTACCTGGGAACACCTAGGATCTTTTGAATATAATTTCAGTGATGAGAGTACTTATCAATGGTAGTTCCTATGAAGTCCTGTATACTTTTCAATCACTCTTACTCCGAGGTTGCAGCCCTTCAGTTACCAGCCCAAAGAAAGCATGGCTCATTAAGTTTTCCTCCTTGGTAGACCTCAGACTTAAATGCTGTTGTCTTAGTTCCATAAAACTCAAAAGTGTCAATTCAGCCCTCAGCCACAAAAAACGATTGGTAAAGGGCCACAAAAAACAATTAAAAAAAACGATTGGTAAAGGGCCACAGAAAGAGTAATACTGCATGTCCTCACTCATAAGTGGGAGCTAAAAAAAAAAATAAACAAATAAATAAAAAAAAGAAAGATACAACAATCACAATAATACACTGAACTTTCAAAAGGAGAGAATAGCACTAGGTTACCAGAGGTCTACAGGAATATGTGACGTCTGGTACTGGTGTCACCTCTCAGGATCATACTTCCTCAATTCCTGGCTGGATAATTTTTAACTCTTCTGTTTGTTCTCTGATAACTTCAAGTAGTTTCTCCATCCCCCACCCCATCCCCAGGTTTTCTAGTTGTCCTCAGGAGGAGGGTTGGTTCAAATTACCAAGTCTGCCAGTAGTGAAAGGAAATCACTTTTCATGGATCTGAAGGTTCTTGTTGATACAGAAATGGTGATGATCCCCCAATGGAGAGCTGTTGGTTTTGAACATAAAGAAGCACAGCTGAGTGCCTGAACCCTTCCCCACTCCATCTGTTTTGTAGTCAATAATTTACAAAAACGTTTGATACGCATTTGACACAATGACATCATAAGGTAGATATCACTATCTCTACGGAAGAGGAAATGGCATCTCATTGCAGATAAATGACTTTTGTAAAATAACCAGTAGGTGGCAAGGCTGTCACAGTACTTAAAGTCAGAACATTTTTCCTCTAGGGTCAAGGAACCAATAGTTAGATGGAGATAGAAACAAGCATAGACACATAAACATGTACTTTCCCAACTAGTTATGACATGCACCATAAGTGACTACTAAAAAGTAAGACTGGTTTCCATAAGACATACAAAACCAGACTCATTCCTTTATAATCTCACCTCGACACACATGTAGTTGCACACAATGGCCAAGGAAAGAGTGTAATAGTAGATCAGAGGAATTGTGCTGAAAAGTCCTCATGTACACAATGAGTTCTGAGGTGGGTTTGAGCAGATGAAGAATGCAGTCTGTCAAAGTGGGAAGTGGTGCATCAGAGAAATGGAACCCCCAAAAAACACTGAAGATGGGAATTTCTACTTTGTCCATCACTGTACCCTCATGTGACAACAGCAATTTAGTATTAGATTTGTGCTAATTTCT